TTATTTCAAGGTAAGTGCTCCAATTGAGTTAGGAGGGTATGATATCACTTTGTCCTGGCAGTTCTGTAACTCATCTTCTTTGTTTTTATGATGGTCTAGAATAAATTTTTATGTCAGAAAAGATAAGTTTTAAACCAAACTTTGTTGTTTTATTCTTTCTGTTTGATAACCAGATTCGCACACACTTATTACTTTGACTCTTAATAGTGGGGACTGCATTCTTTCTTTATGTATTAAAACATAATTGAAAGGCTATTCAGATTCAAATGAGTGATTATGCATTAGGTGATCTAGCCAGTTTATTTTTAGCCAGTAGTCTTCCTTGTGACAAATCAAAACATAAAGATTAATAAAAGTTAAGTGGAAGAAAAATATAACATTTTAAGGAATATTAAGATGTAAAGATCTTTATTTCTTATTCAGTGAACAAAACTGTTCAAACTGAGAATGGAAAATTGCTCTTTAAGTAATTAATTTATTTTGGGAATGGCATTCAGTGCTTTTTTTTTATCACCAGCCAGACTGCTTCTTAACAGCAAGACAGAAGCTTCTGTTCTAATGGTTAGACATAAGACTTCTTTGCATCTTAATCCTACTGTTAGGGAAACTTATGAGAAGAATACCAACAGAGTTGACTCAGATGTTATTTATCTATCTTATTCATTAGCAATGAATAAGGGAACAAAATTTTCTTGACTTCTCATATTTTCCTCAATTTTATATGGAGTATGTTTATTCTATTGCTAGGACACTAAAAATTTTACACTATTTTAGATTTTGACCAGATATTCAAGATTTAAAAATATTCTGGTAGGAAATCAGTTGTGGTTTAAAGGCCATCCTTTGTTTCTTAGTCTGGGATCCATGCAGACTGTCCCACTGCCAAGTAGGATCTTTTTTTTTTTTGCTCTTCTGTTATATAATCTTAAATTGAATCCATCTTGTCCAGTATTTTTCACTGTTTGCAGTTATTTTCTTTGTGTTAAAACTATTTACATTTAACTAAAAGTTACATGCCCCATCCCTGGAGGTGTTCAAGGCCAGATTGGATGGGGCCCTGGGCAGCCTGGTCTAGCATTAGGTGGGATGGTTGGTGGCCCTGCATGTGGCAGGGGGGTTGGAGATTCATGATCCTTGAGGTCCCTTCCAACCCTGGCCATTCTGTGATTCTGTGATACATAGGTCTCTCCAAAAGTAGTGCTTCATATTTATTTCCATGGAAACAATAGATACTAAAAGCACAATAACACCATTTGACAGAGCACATTCTCCGGTACAAAGCACTATTTTTGAACATAGTCACCGTTAGCTATGCATTGTTGCTAGCAGTGAACAAGAGTCTGCAAGCTCTGCTTATAAAAATCTGCACCAGCAAAGATAATTCACTGTTTCATAGCTGATGGCATCGTTGCTGGGAAGATGTCACCTATGTAGTCCATCTTTCATCAGCCAAGTCACAGAAAGTGACTTTGGTGGATGTGGTAGGACAATCCAGACAAGACTGGCCGTGTGCTCCATGGTCTTCAAACTTGTGTGTGGCTGATGTTACCATGTTGCAAGAGAAAGATTATCTTCTTCTCTGCCCTGATTGTGGATGTTCGAGCCTTCAGCTTAGTCAGAATCCTGACAAATGCATATGGTGTTCTTTCTGTTCCTGTCACAAATGTCAATGAATGTCAGTGGGTGCCGTTTTCTCCACAAGGAGGATGACACACTTCCATATCAGACGCCATTTTGTCAGGCTGCCGCTCTGCTGCCATCTGTCACACAGCAACAGCATGTCACGGAATATTGTTGGGAGGGTTCAACCTCTACTGCCGTACCTCCGATGTTGTGGGCCAACACAATAAAACAGGAGGCATTACTTTCAGAGGAGCCTTCATATATTTGATTATTTATCATGAAGTTTGGGAGGAGGACTTTTTCTACTATCATGAGAGTCAATTTTATAAATTCCAGGTAGTTTCCTTCTGTGGCAGTTATGTTTTCAAGTGTATACATAGGATTTTGTTATGGTTTAACCTGGCAGGCATCTCAGTACCACACAGCCTCACTCTTGCTTACCCTGATTGGGAAGGGGGAAGAACCAGAAAGGAACAAGTGCAAGAACTTATGGGCTGAGATGAGGACAATTTACTGTATTAAGCCAAAGCTGCAAGCAAGTCAAAACGAGGCATTAATTTGCTACTTCCCATCAGCAGGCAGGTGTTCAGCCACTTCCCCACAAGCAGGACTCATCGTGCGTAATATTTCTTGGGAAGACAAACAGCATCACTTCACATTTCCCCCCTTCCCTCTTCTTTACCTCAGCTTTTATTGCTGAGCATGATACCACATGATGTGGAATATCCCTTCTGTCTCCGCCATCCCCAACCCCACACTGGCAAGACAGCACAAGAAGCTGAAACATTCTTTGCTCTGTGCAGCACTGCTCTGTGACAACGAAAACATCCGTGTGTGATCAACACTGTTTTCATCAAAAACCTAAAGCATGGTGCCGTACAATCCTCTTTGAAGAAAATTAACTCTGTCCCAGCTAAAACAGATGACAAATGTATGGTTTGATACTAGTGTTGTCTGGGATCAAACAATTTTAAACATTCTTATGACATTTAATAAAAATAGGGAAACCCAACTGCACAGGTTTGGGTCATAAAATATCTGACTTTGTCATGAAGTCACTTCTGCAGTGGTTTTGCCTGTTCTCTCATGCTTGTGTTTACTTCTAGCTGTGTTTGTCACTCGATATCAAAAGTAGTAATTAGTAGTAATTGTATTATGTATTATTTATACTGCAGTAATTTATTTTAAAAAATAAAATGACCAATAGCTAGCGCTAAATGGTTTACCATAGATTTCTTCATAGATTTTAAGACTAAAAGATACCACTGTAACAACATCTATTTTCCTGATTATCCCGGGCCATGCTATTTCACTTAAGTTAGCCTTGCAGTAAATACATTACTTTACATCTAGATAGGGTTTTGCTTCTGTAAATGTGTTCGGTCTTCAGCCAGAAATCCCAGAGTATGGAGGATGGATGGCTTTCTCTGATCACTGCCTCTCATCCTGTATTTGAACATCCTCTTTGTAACAAATTTGCCTTGTTTGTTTCCTGTAACAGAAAATCTGCTTATAATATTGCACCAATTCACTCTCTCAAACAATAATATCCATGCTGTACTAACAAATAGCATCTAAGAGGTATGTGTCAAAGAATAATAGCCTCTATTTGCTGATAATATTTTAAAATATTGAATAGATTTATGGTATTTCTTCTCTAAGTTTCCCAGGAGGAAGGAACAGAAGGAGCATCTTCATTCTGCCTGGCTTACCACAAAGAGGAGTTACTTGTAATGTTATAGATTTTGCCATGACTGTGCACCACAAATGTAAAGAAAAGAGGCTTTTGACTATTTCTGAATAGGCAAGAGGTAGTAAATACAACTTAGGGAATTCTTCCCTTCCAAGCAATATTTCTGAGAAGTGGTGCTGACAGTTTGAAAGTATGTATGTATTCAGCTATAAATATCAAATATTTTGGAGGACTTGTGCTATGTCTGATTTCATTTTGATTTATTAAAAGTCACTTCTTGTTTATCAGCACTGGAAGAGGTTACTGTAATGTAGTAATTTGCCAAAAGAGTACAGTGTGTACTATGAAGGGAAGTTAAACCAGTTTTCTATCCAAGTCAGTCTTAGCTAGATGAAACTTCCAATGAAGATTGAGTGTTTCTATTATGAAAGTAGAAGAACTGGATATTAAACCTTTCATTTATCCCTGTCACTGTGAGCAATCACTGCTCAGAAGGATGCACTCCTTGTTATCTTTTAAGGACAAAAATATTATTAGATATTGTGGTTACTGTGCTTTAAAATATTATTCCCAAGATGGATCTTTGTAAGGGTAGTAAATATTTTACTACTTTTTTTTTTTTAACTTTTTTTTTTTTTACTTTTGTGGGACACTGTGGGGAGAAAGCAAGTTATGATATCTGTTGTACATGCTACTGATCTAGGCAATTCAGTACTTAAATGTAGCACTGACATATTTTAAAATGTCCGAGAATTTTAGCAAGGATTTTAAAGAGAGCTGCACAGAAGTTATGGTTCTTCAGTTAATCTTTCATTTATCTAAAGGCTGAAAGAAGCTGTCTACTTTTGTGATATGAACTGCAATCAGCTTAAAAATAATTGACAAATTAATCCCTTCACAGTGCTGCAATTGTAAAGGTGTTAGATTTAGCTTGGCTTGTCTGATTGCCCTGTCTAATCAAGAAAAAAGGTGCTATCTTTGATGTTTAAGATTTAGAAGGGACATCTCTGACCTAACAAGCTAGTATATTTTAATTATTGATCCCCTCATTTCTGACAACAAAAGCCTTTGTTCATTGATAGCCTCACACCAAAAGACTAAAATAAACACTTCTACGTGGGAGGTACATGAAGACAAGCAGGAATTTGAACCTTTGGAAAAGTTGACCTGTATTACCAACTTACATACCTACAGTATAAAACAGCATGCATTCTTTTCTTCTTGTTATTAACTCTTAATTATCATTGCAGTCATGTTGGAAGCCACCATACAGTGGAATTCAATTTCAGGGCTAATTGTGGACTTCCTGCACTGCACGTGTAAAAGTATCAAAAATGTGCTATAAATTAATTGAAAAATGGAGCCAATTTCCATTTTCCAAAGCCAAGAAAAATTTCAAACCTGTGACTGCTTGAGTAACAATGAAGTAGTGTGCTTCTGTATCAAAATTCCAGCTTTAAGATGGAGCTGAGCTGTTCTTTATGTAGGCTTGTTGTGTTGTTGTTTCTGTCTAAAAGAGCATCAAACTCTGAATGTTTTTGACAAATGAAGCCTACTGTATGAGTAGACAGCCCAATTCTGCGAGTCCTTCCAGGAGTCCAGTTTGATTATTTATTTAGCTTGCATACCATTGCCTTTTTTTGTTCACTTTTTGCATATCACGGATTCTTTTCTTCAATTGCAGGTGAATGAAGCCACGGTGGAGCAGCTGGTGCAGCAGTATCCACATATAACCTTCAGTACTGTTCTACAGGATTGCAAGCGGACATTGGAACGAGCTTATCAAATGGGCTGGACTCCCAATATGTCTACTGCCTCTTAATGTCATGCACCGACATGACAGTTCCACTCTGCTGCTTTCAGTTGATCTAACGGGGACTGCAGAGGTTCACAACCTGTCATTGTGATATATACAATGAATGCAATATAGTTGTGAGTTTACAGAGGTTACAGTAAAATGGAAAAAACTGTATACTGACTTTGATGTACTGTACAACTAAGTACTGGTATTGAGACAGAATTTTAGAAATGCATTGTATTTCTTTGTTTGCATAAAAGACAGATTTCTTGAAGTGGATTCCTACTAGTTCTATGGATAGTTTGAGTTATAAAAGATACAAAGCTTGTTTTTTTTGTGTTTACTCTACTTTGCCTTGGTTATGTGTGTTTCCTTTGATTTGTAGATGGTAACTCAGTGCTAGCATCAGTGTAGCTGATCAGCAGAGACCTATGCTGAAAATGGGAGCTACACTCCATGCTTATTTTATACTAAAGCTACCCTAGGAGTTTTAAGATTCACAGTGTATAAGAAAATCTACAAAGAGCTGGGATTGTCTTACAGACTTTTGGGGAATTATACAAGTCATTAGTAAATGATTATGATGACTAAATATGTATCTAACGGACAATCATATAATCATTGAGTCCTAGAATTGTTTGGGTTGGACGGAACCGTAAAGATTCATCTCTTTCCAATCCCCTTCCACAAATAGGTTGCTCAAACCCCTTCTGATGTGGCCTTGAACACCCACAGCTTCTGGTTAACCTGTCCCAGTCTCATCACCTGCTAAGGAAATAATTTTTTCCTTAATGTCTAATATAAATCTATTCTCTTCCATTTTAAAATCATTCTCCTTTGTCCTATCATTACTTTTGTCCTTGATATAAAGAGAACTTGATAAAGAGTCCCTTCCTATCTTTCCCATCAGTCCCCTTTAAGTACTGGAAGGCAGCTGTAACGTCTCCCCAGAGCATTCTCTTCTGCAGGTTGAATAAGTTTAACTCTCTCAACCTTTATCACTTCACAGAAATTATGTCTTCTTTTTTTTTGTTTGTTTAAAATAGTCTTTTAGGAGATCTTCTACAGATTTCAAGATCTTTTCACACTGCAGGTTTTGCAGGAAGTGAGTTAACAATGGTTGAACTCATACTGATAACCAGTTCCCACTTCATAACCAGTCAAGCAGGAAGTGAGTACACCAACAATCAGAAGTAAATTAAAAGACAGTGCTTAAATATCTGATTGAAAAAAAAAAAAAAAAATTCTTTTTTTTGTACGTGGACTCATCTCTTCTGACTACAGTGTTATGTTGCTGAACTGGGCAATTCAAGTAAATGGTTAGAATACAATAAGGGGATTTTTCTCAATTCATGTGTGGTTATTATTTTACAACAGATCTTACAATGCAAGAAGTGCTTACTTCTAGTAGACATTCTGAACATGAGGCCTGTTGTCATAGGTATTATATGGTAGGATCACTTGCTTTGTAATACAGTGTATAAAAAAACACCCAGAGTAAATACATTAAAAGATTAATTTTCTGTGTGTCACATTGCATTTTAAGGAGTTAATTTTGACATGGGGATAGTGAAAATATAGATATTGCAGTTTCAATTTGAAGTTGCATTAAGTTTTAGAGTATTACTGTTTGGTTAAGAATATTTTTATGTGTATAACACTGGATATTTGTTTTTTAGGGGTAACAGCATTTTAATCCAAAGTATGAAATGCTTAAGCTTCAGCTGAGGAGTTGCCATTATTGTCAAAATGTTTTGCTAATCCAGAAAGTCTGATGTAGTGTAACCTAGAGAGCTTATTTAGTATAGTTGCCATAACTCTGTAAAGCTGTAAGTTGATTTCCATGGCATAGTTTTTTACCAGAGACACATCAGCTCACAGTAATTCTGTTGAAGCTGTTGAATGTTTTCTTCTTAGACTTCTCAAAATGGGGATGAACTAATATCTTTTAAAAAATATATAATAAAGTTTTTGCTTAAAATATGGTAAATACATGTGAACATGTGTAATGCTGGGCTTTCTATTTACTCAAAAATGGCAACAAGTATTTTCAGAATAAAGCCAATGAATTATATTGCAGATATAGTACCGAATCTTAGTCATTTTCTTTTCATGACTTTTTATGACTGCATTAAAACTATTCACACGATTTGTAAGTTTCTATTTTTCCGTGAAACTTTTGACCTTTCAATGGGTTGCAATAAAAGAAAGAATAAAAATCTGATGTCTTTCATCTGTGCTGCTACTGTACTTAGACTCTACCAAGAGAAAGAATGAAATTTCAGTCTTGAATATGCAGAACTTATCTGGAGGTCCTGAGAAAATTGATCTAAGCTGGCCCTGCTGTGACAGTGTTTGAACAGCTGAGATCCAGAAATATTTTTCAGTCTAAAATACTCTGTAATTAACAAAGTTTTTTTGTGTATTTAACAGATGTAGTAAGTCATCTCTTGTCACTTCTGCTATTAAGTCATTTCCATTTGCATTTGACTGCTGTTCATTTCTCTCTTATTTTTCTAAACCAATCAGTCCAAGGTAGCATCTTTGCTGGCCCAGCCCTTCTCACTTCACCAGGAATAGAGAACTCAATCAATTTTGGGTTGCTTTGCCCAAGATAGCTTCTGACCACCATGTCTCCCGCCAGTCCTTCTCTGTTTGAAAACAGCTGGTCTAGCGGGTGCTTCCCTGGCAAGTTCTCTTACCAGCTGTATCAGGAAGCTATCTTCTACATACTACAGGAACTTAGCCTGCTTCCTCTACTGAATTCTATTTCCAGCATATATCTGGTTCCCTACAAGAATCATGTGACTGCGGGAGCTGCTCATGGAATGCATAATCTATCTTTCATCCTGGTTGGGTGGTCTATGACGTACTCCCTCTAGGCTATCAGCCATTTTGGCACTCCCTCTGGTTTTTATTTTTTCATAATTCTCAGCATTCCCAATATTGAGACATCCTCTAACACAGAGAGTCACTCTACCGATTCTCCTTCCTTGCCTAACACCTCTGAACTGCCTTTAGCCTTCCATTGCGGTACTCTAGTCATGAGAGCTCCCACAATGTTTCAGTGATGACAACTGAGTCATAGTTTTCCTGCTGCACAATGTCTTCCAGCCTAGTTGCCTGTGCTGCACAGGCATTTGTGTAGGTGCATTTCAGCTGCACCAACCTTGTCAATGTTCTTCCAGACTAATCTCTAGCAAGCCTCGTTTTATCCACTTTCCCTTTCAAACCTAGTTTAAAGCCCTGTCAGTGAGCCCAACCAACTCCTAGCCTACAGTCCTTTTCCCCTTTTGAGACAGGTGTTGCTGGCAGGCCTGGTGTCGAGTAAACCACCACATGATTTAAAGAAAAAAATCTCTGATGACACCAGCCTCTTAGCCATGTGTTGATCAGATGAGTTTTCCTGTTCCTTTCAATAGCTTTCCCTGCTACTGAAAAGGGTTGAGGAAGACACCACCTGTGTTCCTACTCCTTTGATTTACCACTCCAGAGTCTTTCAGACCTTTTTAATAGCCCTGGGGCTTCTCCTCACAACTTCATTGCCACCAACCTGAACTACCACAAGTGGGGAATAATCAGAAGGTCATACCAGACCAGGGAGCTTTCTAGTAATGTCCCTGACCTAGGCCCCAGACAGTCAGCAGACATCCCTGTGTATTGGGTCCAGTCAGCATATCAGCTCTGTTCCCCCTCAGAAGGGAATTACCTCTGACTTTTCCCAATATGGATTTTCCCAGGGAAATTATAGCATGATTGTCAGTAAGAAAGCCTTGTGTGCAAGCAGCCTCTTAGTATAACAATTTATTTTCAGTCATTTACTCTTGTAAATCTGGACATAATTCTCATTCAACCCCAGTCAGACCATTTACTTGGTGGTCACTCTAACCACTTCTCACCATTCCAGAGGTGATGTGGGTGAAACATCCTTAAGCAATTTGTCCCTGCATGAAAAATTGGCCACAAGGATATTTTGCATAGAGGGTCAAATTCACTGAACCCAGCTTCCAGATGAGTAGAAGTTTCGTGAATTACTGAGTCCAAACAGGGATATCCTCCTTATGAGCATGTGCCCTGTACAGTACAAGGCAGCTTCTAGTCTGGTTTGAACAAAAAGTGAAAAATACCAAAAGTAAGGAAAAACTGAGTCTAGCATAGCCATAGTGGGCTAATAGGAGTTACTTTCAGCATTCTCAGCACCATTGCCCAATGCTATTTCTACTGACTGCAGAACATTGCATGGACCCTGTGTCCCAATTGGGCTCACTGGCAGAAAACATTTCTTCCCATTTTGGTCCACTAGAAGAGTTTGAGTAGTCTTCGCTGGCTTCCTAGAACTGCTAAACTTACTGATCTGTGTAGCTGTGTCTTCAAAAAACAGTTGACGTTATGAGTTCATATGGCAGCATCCATATATGATGCTGTTATGTGTGCTTATAATAAATACAGACATTTGCAAACACGCTTCTTTTTATTTCATTTGCTGCAGAAGTCTGATGACCCTTAAAATGACAATTAATTCTGATGATGAAAAGTAGCATTGCCTGTACATATGCTTTCTTTACACACAAACATACATCTGAAATATTTTGATGTGTGAGTATTGTATTTGATCTCAGAACTACAGGAGATGATACAAGTTGTTTAAAATAGGGTCTCCCTGTTTTTGAAAATAATTTGGATAATGATTGGAAAGTTCAGTTATTATCTTCCTCTCATTTTTGTTTTTGGTTTGGTTTTTCTTTTTTCTTTTCCCCTGTTTTTCTGGATGCATTGATTGCAATGTTTTTATCTTTCATTGAGAAGTATAAGAATCAGAGTTTAATTTGATTTTCAGATTGGAGGATGGGAACTGGAAAGAATTCATGTTTGTCCAAGTCTTGGATCAAGTTTGCAAGCCAGAAAAATAGGGGGAAAAAAAAAATCCCATGCCTCTCCTTTAAGGTTGGTAATTAAACCTGTGTTATTTGAATGTTGTGGTCTTTTCTCAGTCTTATTTGAAACACTGTAGATAGACAGCTCCACTTGTAAAAAATATCTGTAATTCAGTTGGGGAAAAGACTATGTTTAAATGTAGAAGTCTATCAAAATTAAGCTAAGGATTTACTGGTAAATATTTGCCTAAGCTCCCAAATCCCTGTAATCTCTTCTGCTTCAACTGTTCTTGAGCTACTGTACCATCACTTCTCTGCTTCCAGTCAGTCTCACTCTGGCACATAGCATTGAGCTGACAAGTGGGTGTATGCAAAGCAAAACACTGAGCTTTACAGACAGCTCCTTATTGATTAGAAAACTGCATGGGTTGGTTGGTTGGTTGGTTGGTTGGTTGGTTGGTTGGTTGGTTGGTTGGTTTAATTATCTATTTATTTATTTAGAAAGACAGAGACAGAATTGAAAAAATAATTTATTGCTGGACATCAATTCCAAACCAAATGGAAATACTCAAATTTCATGTCATAAAAGGAGAAAGATGAGAACAGTGAGTGGAAAAGAAAAAACATATTTTATATCTATAAAGTACATAGGTTGCTTTGAAAGTAATTCCTGCTACTTACTTCCATGGGAAGTACAACAACTACAAAGAGCACAACAACTCTAATCAACTGAGCAAATTCTCATCTACAAAACACTATTTTTCAACATAATCATCACCATTCTTGAAGATGAGCTGACCAAGATACTCTCCAGTTTGTCGTGTCAGAGCTGTGCATGGTCATTTGGAACATGGCTCATCTTTCACATTGCTGTCACCACTGCTGAAACACACCACCCACTAGCTCACTGAACTCATGTCCGCTGTTTGGTCTCCATAAACATTCAGCAAGTGTTGATGAATGTCAGTGGGTGCCATTTTTTTCCACAGGGAGGAGTTTGGTGACACAACTTTGCTTTAGATGCACTTCCATATCAGAAACCACGTGGACTGCCCCTCTGCTGCCATTTGCCACAAAGCAACAAAACGTAGTGGAATATTGGTGGAAGGGTTCAGCCTCTACTGTCATGCCACTACTAATGTCTGCCTCTGATCTTGTGGGCTAACAGCATCAAATGGGAGGCATTACTTTCAAAGCATCCCTTCTATTTCATATATCTAATGCTTCCGGGGTTAACTTAAGCAAGAATGAAAAATACGTATGTATTGTTTCATAACTACAGTTCAAAATTATTAGATAGTGACAAAAAAAATCTGAAATTTCACTTCACTTCTATAGTCTATGCTATAGACAAGTAATTTTGGTCAAACTGACTGCCTCCACTAAAAATCTTCAATTAAATTAAAGTCATCAGTTATCTCAAGGTGAGGACATTTGACAGATAGCCACACTAC